CTTTATGACTGCTTTGAGGATTGCGTAGGAGGGGTGACGGCACCTGTTATGAAAAGGAAGGGGAATCGCGCCGTTTTTATATTCATTTCAAAGTGTTTTCGTGCCTAAACAAAGCGAAAGCACAGAACAGGCACACATTTAAGAACAAGGGGCGGCCCCTTGTGGTTCGGCGGTATGGGTGGCGTATAGGGAGCCTTGGCTATTTAATGTTTCTTCCCACTGAAAATACGGGAAAATACCTTTACGGGATGATAGCGGGATGGAATGTAAAATACGGGAGAATCCCAGGAAAAACGGGAGGGTAGACAGGTATGCTTTACTTGAAGGGGTGTTCATAAGACTGTCATGAAACCTTTATAATCATGACATGACTCTTGTCGCATACAACCATCATTAAGTGTCATTTTGCTCAGTTCTGTCATTCTAAACGCAAAGATGACATTGTTTGTTATGACAACTTGACATTAATGCATCTTCATATTCGTCATAACAGTTTTCATTAGCATGCATGAAATCTCATTCACATTAACTACATGTCTCATGTCATGATTGTAACATTTTAATGACAGTCTTATGAATGCCCCTTCAAGTAGTGTTACAGACATCAGTATAATCTCCTAATGTTTTGCTAGATTTGCTTGCAGTGTTTCGACCTTGTTTTAATGCTACTTTTCTCTTGATTCCTGGCAGCCTTTCTGTTTTTATACTTGTATTTTTTGACTCATGGATCATAGATCTAACAGATGATGTACTTCTGTCAGGTTGGACAAAGCTTTAATCCTCATGTTATGTTATTGACTGAACACTCACTCACTTGTTGTGATAATCTGGGACGTTTTGGTCAGTTTCGTTCCTCTGAGATTGAGGATATTAGTGTTTGTTATTGTATGTGTCTGTATAGTCTTTAGTTTCCCATCAGCGCAGTGAATTCTTTTCCTTAAAGGGAGAGTTCACACACACACACACAAAAAAAGTGGTTCCAAACGTTTATGAGTTTCTTCATTCTGTTGGACACCTAAGAAGATAATTTAAAGAAAGCTGAAAACCGGTAACCATTGACTTTCATATGCATACACTACCTGACAAAAGTCTATCCAAGTTTTAGGAAGAACAAAGCTTGACTTCTAGTTGATCATTTGGTATCAGAAGTGGCTTATATCAAAGACAAAGGCCTCTAGATTACGTTTATTTTACCTAAATAAAATATGACCATGCCTTGATTTTTAAATATTTAATTAGGACAGTAAGGTCTGACTTTGCTTAGACAAAAGTCTTGTTATACATCTCTGCAATAACTCAAATAACTTATTAATAAAGTCATCTGGAATAGCAAAGAAAGTTTTCCTGCAGGAGGTGTTCTTACCCCAGACATGCTCAATAATGTTCATGTCTGCTGACTGGGCTGGCCAATCCTGGAGCACCTTGACCTTCTTTGCTTTCAGGAGCTTTGATGTGGAGGCTGAAGTCTGAGGAGCGCTATCCTGCAGGAAAATTCGCCTCTCCTGTGGTTTGTAATGTAATGGGCAGCACAAATGTCTTGATACCTCAGGCTGTTGATGTTGCCATCCACTCTGCAGATCTCTCGCACATCCCCAAACTGAATGTAACCCCAAACCATGAGTTTTCCTTCACCAAACTTGACTGATTTCTATGAGAATCTTGGGTCCATGCGGGTTCCAGTAGGTCTTCTGCAGTATTTGGGATGCAGTTCAACAGATCAGAGAAATCGACCTTCTGCCACTTTTCCAAATGATCAACCAGAAGTCAAGTTATTATTTGTTGCTTTTACAACTGGGATCAATGACAAGTCAGGTAAATCAATGGTTACAGGTTTTCAACATTTTTTTAAATATCTTCTATTGTGTTTAACAGAAGAAACTCAAACTAGTGGATGATAAAGAGAATCATTTGGGTGAACTGTCCCTTTAAGGATGACCTCATTTATCCCTTTGGATGCTATGTATCCACTGCTTTATTTAAGGGAAATGACTGCTATTGTTTGATGTATTTATTGTAGTTGTTTCTTTTGTATACGTGTTATCATAGTTGTATTTTGTATTATTTATAACGTGTATATACATGGAATTTATTGCTCAGATTTTTATACAGATGATGCATTTAAAGAGAAATACAGTTTACTTGTGTGTGTCATATACAGTCCAGTGTGTCATTTTTGTGTTTTGACTCTCAACAGCAATTGTTCCAGTCAATGTTTCTCTTTAAACAAGTTGCAGATGTAAAGCTAAAATCAAACTGATGTAAGGTAATGAACGTATGTCAATATGATTGATTAGATTGTCAGTTTGTGCATGAGAGGTCTTGTCAGAAAGCTCTCCCAGCACATTATGTTTACACTAAACACGCAGATCATCTGATTACTGTCATTCAGCGGGTTTCAATCTGAATTAATGAAAGGTGAGTGAATTCATTTTCTGCGGGACTTTCTAATTCAGAGTTTCAACAACTGTCTGACCAAAATATATATGGAAGTAAAATGGTCAATAAAATTCATTTTTGAAATCTCTTTTATACATATGTATATATATATATATATACATACATATACATATATATATATATATATATATATATATATATATATATATATATATATATATATATATATATATATATATATATATATATATATATATATATATATATATATGTATATGTATATATATATATGTGTATGTATATGTATATATATATATATATATATATATATTTTTTTTTTTTTTTTTTTTTTTTTTTTTTTTTTGAGTGAAGCAAATACATGTATTCAATACATAGTATTCATACATTTACTCATTTTCCTTCAGCTTAGTCTCTATTTCACAGGTCACCATCGGCCAACTATTCCAACATGTTTTTTTTATGCTGGGAAACACCCATACACAGCCATTCACACACACACTCATACAGTAAGGCCAGTTTAGTTAATCCTAGTCACCTATAATGCAAGTGTTTGGACTGTGGGAGAAACTGGAGCACCTGTAGGAAACCCACGCCAACACGGTGAGAACATGTTAATATATTAGATAGTATACACTAGTATATATTAGTAAATATATTTAATATCATAATTTTGAGTATGCTTATTAGTTGATGTGCGAATAAAGATTTTCTTAATGTTACATGTTAATGAATTTTCTTGGATTTAAACATATGGAGGGTAAGATATATTCTAAAATTATTATTTATATATATTTATAAAAGTAGGTAGTGGTAGTGCGCAGTAGGTAGTGCTGTCGCCTCACAGCAAAAAGGTCGCTGGTTCAAGCCTCGGCTTAGTTGGTGTTTCTGTGTGTAGAAACACCAACTCCCTGCCTTCGTGTGGGTTTCCTCCGGGTGCTCCGGTTTCCCCCAGTCCCAAGACATGTGGTGCAGGTGAATTGGGTACTCTAAATTGTCCGTAGTGTAATAAGTGTGTGTGTGGATGTTTCCCAGAGATGAGTTGCGGCTGGAAGGGCATCCGCTGCGTAAAAACTTGCTGGATAAGTTGGCGGTTCATTCTGCTGTGGCGACCCCGGATTAATAAATGGACTAAGCCGACAAGAAAATGAATGAATGAATTTATATATATATTTGTAGAAAATAAATTTATACAAATAATGGCCGTTTTTTGTATATTTCAAAATATATTTACTTTTTTATTTGTTTATTTTATTGGGTACTTTCAGACTGACATCTTTCTGTTGTAAAATGCTGTTTGTACTAATGTTTCTCAACATAAAATATAGCAAATATACATATCAGAGCCCTGAGTGTCAAAATACTTGTCATGACAAAATGACAGTAATGTCATTTTGCCAACATGTTTGAAATGCCCCTACACTAAACAACAGGGCTCTATTTAGGAGGACAGCTAGTGCTGTCTAAAGTCATGTATTCTTTAAATATGTTTTAATCCATAAAAATATAGCCTAGTACATCACAATCAGAAGTGTTCAACAAATATATAGTAGGCTACTCAATTTTCTAAAGAATAGTGAGGGAGGAAAAATCATCTACACATTTTTTGGTAAAAAATAAAAAAAACTGGTCACTTATTGTCAAATCACACATTTATAAATAATTTTTTAATTGATAAATGAACTGTTTAGTTAAGCTAAGCATGATAGTTATGCGTGCTAGTTTCCATATAACAGAATTCAAAATAAATAGTTTCATAACTTGTCACTATTGTTGTCAATTCATATAATGAAACTGCGCCACCTGGAGGAGAGTTAAAGATTTTCAAATCCAAACAATCAGATAAAAGTTTTACATATGAAGATAACGTGTTTACCTGTGTATTCACTAGATGAATTAAACATAATCAAACCTCGCCTACAAACACTCAAGAAAATTGTACCTTCAAAATTATAATTTTATGTAGTTTATTTGTAATCCAACCGTAACTCATTCATTCATTCATTCATTCATTCATTCATTTTCTTTTGGGCTTAGTCCCTTTATTAGTCCAGGGTCACCACAGTGGAATGAACCAACTTATTTAGGACATTTTTACGCAGCGAATGCCAAACCGTTACTCTGTTAATGAAATTAAGATTTTTATGAGTATATATATATATATATATATATATATATATATAAAGTCTGTATTGTTAATAGAATTAAATTAACAAATTAACAGTAGGCTATTGGTGGTGATTACAAAAAAAGCTTCGGTAATGGATTAATCCGCCCTTTAGGCTATGGGTACACTCTCTTATCACAACGGATGATACACGGACCACAATAACTTGTCTAATGTCACTATATAATTATTAATGGCTTTACAGTTTTGATGAAAATCAAAGCTTTTTGGGCTTATTTGAAAGTCATAGATTCTGGGGAAAAATATAAATTGACTATACTGACCAATTTATAGAATATTGTTTTCTTGAAATATAGTTAAATAAACTCTTACAAACTATCCCCTTGTTTCTGTCACACTAGCACTGATTGCGAAACGCATTTTTGGGAACTTGTCCCTTCCCGCTTGCCTTCGAGTTCTGTGACCAATGCGCGGGATTCTCAAACATAATGTCGGTGTTTAATAACAACAACAGCTGAATCTGCTTCAGTTTATGTTTCCTCAAATATTATATTCATTGTAGTTTAAAACGACGTTCTGACTAAGTATTTTTTGTTAAACGGAGCAGTTATTATTTAATGTTGTCGAGCGCTCCTATATAGCTAAAACGACAAAGATGCACATTTATTTGGACGTATTTATTTAATTTGGATTTAATTCCTGATCCAGAATGGTAGGTGCTGTTGTAAAAACGTTGTAAACCTATGGCCTAAGTTACGTGCCTGTGATCATGTGAGTTGTGTTTGTTGTTGTTATCAATGACCGAGATGGAGAAATTGAGGTAACGCTAACAGTTAAAGCTGGTTTTATGTTCGCTCTTTCCTTCATGTTTGAACAGTGATATAAATCACATATAAATTATATTATATATTATATTACAGTGATATGTATTGCAAACTACTACGCTTGTTTTAGTCTGAAATCGCATGCAAGTAACGTTACTACTTCAAAACAACATTAGCACTAATTAATTGACAGTGAACAATGTTGTACTTTGGTATTGAGGTAAAGTTGGTCTTATATTCATACATTTGGACTTGTTCCTTAATAATATAATTTCAGAAAAGTATTCTTTACAATAGTGAAATCATTTTAGCAGCCATTGACTATCAAAGTACATTGTTCACAGTTAAATGCTACTAATGTTGTTTTGAAAACTTACTTGCGCATGATTTCAGACTGAATATTCAAAGTACCATAGTAAACAATATAGGGAGTGTTTAATAAGTTAACTCTGAGGAATGTGCAAATATAAAACCAACTTGACCTCAACTACTTTGATAGTCACTGGCTGCTTATATGAGTTCACTATTTCGTATTTGCAAATAACACTTTTCTGAAATTATATTAAAGAAGAAACTCTGAATGTGCAAATATAAAACCAACTTTACTTTAATAGAGGAGAAGTCTAGCGCCAAGTCAGGTGGCCAAAAGAAAACAGGGGCCAGATTCAGACGATGAGGAGGACTGGGAGCCTGACATGGTGAGTCTGTCACGCATTTAAAGCTCTTTATTTAAATGCAACAGTGCATGTGACTGATTGTTTGCATTTTTACAGGAACCACAGTGCAAGAGAGACTGTCGAGAAAAGTACATCTCCCCTTACAGAAAACCCCTGACCCCGCTGACCAACAGACCCTTCTGCGCTGATGGCAATGAACATGTGAGTACATCCCAATATTTAAACATGGAGGTACATTCACTTGTTAAAGAGAGCTCAGTGTATCTCATTGTGTTTCAGATGCTGCTATCAGTGTGTCGTTTTAGAGTTCCTATATGCAGGACAAACAGAATTAGAAATTCTTTGATGATGGTGGCCATTAAGACATTAAATGAGTCCAGCAAGGAGGAAGATGCAGCTAAAAATGATTTATTGTATGTTTTGTGGTAATAATTTGGTAATGTGTACATGGAATTTTGCCTGTGTTATGGCACTTGCTGCAATTTTTTGTTTCCCTAATTGGGATAATAAAGTTAAATCTGAGTTACATTAATATTTGTACAGTAAAATAAACAGTACTAGGCCACAGTTTGGAATAATTAACCCCTTCAGACCTGAATTATGTTCCATATTTAAAAAAAATGGGATGTCATGTGATGTCCATTGTAATGGACGCAGGGTCTGAAGGGGTTAAGATTTTTAAGTCTATATTTCCAAAAGAAGACTCTTATTTTATAAAAACAGCTGTGAAATTGTATTATTATTATTATCATTATTATTAATTTTTAAAATAAGTAATTTCTAGAGTTATCTAATATATTTAAAAATGTAGTTTATTCCTGTGATGCAAAGCTGTATTTTCGGCATCATTAGTCTGTTGTTCAGTGTCAAGATATCTTTCAGAAATTCATCTAATATGCTGATTTGCTGTTCAGGAATTGTATTATTATTATTATTATTATTATTATTATATAATCATATATCATCATCATTTAATTTTTACAACAACAACTTTATCTCCTCTATGATTTCTATAAATAAATTAGCTTTTCCATCACATGAATAAATTGCAATTTAAAAATATATTCAGAAATCATGCAGTTATTTTATAATGCTAAGTTATTTTGTAATTATAAGTAAAGAAAATATTTAGAAATAATAATAATAATAATAATAAATACTACATGTATTTTTATTCAAATAAATGCGGTACTGGTGGACAAACATAAGTCAAAAAACATTAATAATCTATAATTATTTCAAACTATTGACTGGAAATAATGTATTTTAAAAAGTCACATAATAGGAAAAATATTAATAAATTGATTTTATAAATGTGCATTATTAGTTATTGCTATTGGCAGATCTTTTTTTAACAGACACAAAGAAGGGTAACATTTCGATATCAAAGTTTCAATTATTTATTGTATACAGTTGGTATCAACATTTTTATCCCTCCTGTGAATTTTTCTTTTTCAAATATTATCAAAAATGATGTTTAACAGAGTAAGGAGTTTTTTTCAGCATTTCTTATAATATTTTTTCTTCTACAAAAAGTTTCATTTGTTTTATTTTGACTAGGATAAAAGCAGTTTTTAATTTTTTGTACAAGTATTTTAATGTCAATATTATTAGCCCACTTAAGCAAGATACATATTTTTTGTTGTCTACAGAACAAACCACTGTTATACAATGACTTGCCTAATTACCTTAACTTGCCTAATTGACCTAGTTAAGCCTTAAAACTGCACTTTAAGCTGAATACTAGTATCTTGAAAAATATCTAGTCAAATATTATGTGCTGTCATCATGGCAAAAGATTAAAGAAATGTGTTGGAAGAAATCTTCTCCATTAAACAGAAATTGTTGAAAAAAATACAGGGGGCTAATAACTCTGACTTGTACATATAATTGACAGATTTAATTATTTTTCCACAGGAAGCCTTCATTCGCAAGATCTTATCCAAACCATTTAAAATTCCTATTCCAAATTACACAGGTTAGTCTGCACTTACAGCTCATTTACAAATATAAATAATGCACATAATAAAGTGTGTGTGTGTGTGTGTGTGTTTGTTTGTACGTAAACAGGCGTTTTGGGTTTGCGGGCTCTGGGTCTGAGACGAGCTGGTGTGAGGAAAGCTCTGCACGACCCGTTTGAAGACGGAGCTCTGGTTCTGTATGAGCCTCCGGTCATCAGCGCTCATGACCTGATCAAAGCAGACAAGTCAGTGGCATCTCATGTTAAGAATATAATGGGCTCTTATGCTCAGCAGTGCTGTGATTGGCTGTGATGTGATCGGTTTTTTGCAGGGAGAAGCTGCCAGTGCATGTTGTTGTAGATCCCGTGCTCAGTAAAGTGCTTCGACCACATCAGCGAGAGGTATGATGAGTAAAATCAGCAGATCATTAGATCACGTTGAAATTAGCTTCATTTTATTATTGTCTCACATTTATATTTTTTCTTATTTGCAATTCTTTGATAAAAGGGGTTTCTATGGAAAGGTTAGGCTAATTCTGAAAAATGCATCTTCTTCTTTGGCCTTAGTCCCGTATGGTTGCGGGGTCAGCTCTTTGGAACAAGTCCTCCATTTAGACTTGTCTATATGATAACGACTTTTTTACACATTCCGTCACTCTCATACACTCATACACTACGGCCTACCCAATTCACCTGTACCGCATGTCTTCGGACTGTGGGGGAAACCGGAGCACCCGGAGGAAACCCACGCAAACGCAGGGAGAACATGCAAACTCCTCACAGAAATGCCAACTGAGCAGAGGTTCGACCCAGCAACCTTCTTGCTGTGAGGCAACAGCACTACCTACTGCGCCACTGCTTCGGCCCTAATTCTGAAAAATGCATATGATTTGAATTTAAAAATAAATAACTTTGAAAATGAAAACTAAAATGTGGATCAGTTGGCGTTTCTGTGTGGAGTTTGCATGTTCTCCCTTTGTTCACGTGGGTTTACTACAGGTGCTCCGGTTTCCCCCACAGTCCAGAGGAGACATGCGGTACAGGTGAATTGGGTAGGCTAAATTGTTAGTAGTGTGTGTGAATGGGTGTGTGTGGATGTTTCCCAGAGATGGGTTGCGGCTGGAAGGGCATCCGCTGTGTAAAAACGTGCTGGATAAGTTGGTGGTTCATTCCGCTGTGGCGACCCTGGATTAATAAAGGGACTAAGACGAAAAGAAAATGAATGAATGAAACTAAAATTTTATTTATTGTCGATTTTAAAATAACGTTTTTTTTTCTTGACAGAAATGGTTATCTTTTAGAACCAAGTTTGTTATATCTCACATTTGTCAGCTAAAAGTTGCGATTAATGTCTCAGAATTGCTGTATATACAAGCCGTTTTCTCACAGGTGAAAAATTCAAAGTTAGGAGTTAAAACTGTGAGAAGAAATCAAAATTGTGACATAACATAATACATAATTAACAATTTTCAGAATTGCAGGTTTATCAGCTTACAGGGACTGTGAGACTTTGATTCAAGTCTTTTATTTATACTTTATTTATTTATACCTAAAATCTAACTAAAATAAAACTAAATGTTTAGTACCAAAATGAAACATAATTCACAAAAAAATTGAAATAAGAAACTGTTATCTCTATAAACTTCCATTTGTAAAAGAGCTTTCTGTTCATCAGTATAATGTTCTCCTGCAGGGTGTAAAGTTCTTGTGGGATTGTGTGACGGGACGACGGATTGAGAACTCCTACGGCTGTATTATGGCGGATGAGATGGGTCTGGGAAAAACATTACAATGCATCACTCTCATCTGGACTTTACTGAAGCAGAGTCCAGACTGCAAACCTGAGATCGATAAGGTCATCGTGGTCTCTCCGTCCAGCCTGGTGAGAAACTGGTACAATGAAGTGGGCAAGTGGCTCGGTGGACGCGTGCAGCCTGTGGCCATTGACGGAGGCTCCAAAGACGAGATCGACAGCAAACTTGGTAATGACAGCAAACGGATTACATATAGACGAGGGATGGGCTTCAAAACAAGATTATCCAAGAAGAATTTATAGAGATTTTATGTTTATGGGTAAAAAGAAACTTGGACAAGTTTTAAATATTTTCTTATCATTGTAATGCAAAATAATATTTTAGTAATAATTGCTCATTTTGAAATAATCAGCATCAGACAATAATCATGCTTGGCAGTAATTAAATACATAATTAACAAAAGTTACTAACTAACTAAGTAACTAAGCAAGCAAGTTCCTTACTTAGTTGCTAAGTAACTAACTAATTAAGTAACTAAGCAAGCAAGTTAAAACCAAGTACCTAACTAAGCAGGCAAATAAGTAACTAGCTAACTAATTAAGTAACTAAGCAAGCAAGTAACTAAGCAAGCAACCATGTAACTAAGTTATTAAGTAACTAATTAAGTGACTGGGTTACTAAGCAAGCAAGTTACTAAGCAAGCAACTAAGTATCTGAGTAACTGACTGACTAATTAAGTAACCAAGCAAGTGAGTAACTAACTAAGCAGGCAACCATGTAACTAAGTAACTAATTAAGTAACTGGGTAACTAAGCAAGCAAGTTACAAAGCAAGCAACTAAGTAACTGAATAACTAACTAACTAATTAGGTAACTAAGCAAGCAAGTTACTAACTAACTAACTAAGCAAGCAAGCAAGTAACTAACTAAGCAATCAACCATGTAACTAAGTTACTAACTAATTAAGTAACTTGGTAACTAAGACAGCAAGTTACTAAGCAAGCAACTAAGTATTTGAGTAACTGACTAACTACTTAAGTAACCAAACAAGCATGTAACTAACTAAGCAGGCAACCATGTAACTAAGTTACTAAGTAACTAATTATGTAACTGGGTAACTAAGCAAGCAAGTTACTAAGCAAGCAAGTAAGTATCTGAGTAACTAACTAACTAATTAAGTAACTAAGTAACTAAACAAGCATGTAACTAACTAAGCAAGCAACCATGTTACAAAGTAACTAATTAAGTTACTGGGTAACTAACTAAGCAAGCAAGTTACTAAGCAAGCAACTAAGTAACTGAGAAACTAACTAACAAACTATTTAAGCAACTAAGCAAGCAAGCAGGTTACTTACTAAGCAAGCAACTAAGTTACTGAGTAGCTAACTAATTAAGTAACGAAGCCATCAGGCAAGTTACTAACCAACTAAAATAACTTACTAACTAAGCAAGCAAGTAAGCTACTAATTAAGTAAGTAATAAAAATTCATTTTGTATTTATGTATTTTTAAATGTTTGATTTCAGTCCTTGTGCTGTTGAAAACCTCCTTTTGTCTGGTCATTATGCTTCATCTGCTCTGTCATAAATCTTCACTAGGTGCATATTTGATTGTGTTCTTGCAGTAAACTTCATCTCTCAGCAAGGCATGAGAATACCAACTCCAATTCTGATCATTTCCTATGAAACTTTCCGTCTCCACGCTGAAGTCCTGCACAAAGGCAAAGTCGGACTGGTCATCTGTGATGAGGTACAGTAAGTGCACAATCAAATGTAAATCGTAAACAGAATGCATCAGAAAAGCTATGAAATGTATCATTGTTATTGTTTTAAGTCAAGTGAATTCAAATTTGTTTTGATTAAACAAGCATGCTCTTTTTTATTACAAATAATAGCAAAGACAATACTTGTGTTTAAAAACAACCATTTGAATTTTGCATTTCTAAAATATTTGTGAAAAATGTGATTTGTAAATATATTCATATAAGGCCAATAATACAACATAAATATGCTATCTGCTATAAATAAGCTGTATAAATATGCTACATAAAGTTCAAGTGAGGATTATTGGCCCCCTGTATATATTTTTTTCCCAATGTGTTTAACAGAAAGAAGATTTTTCAGCACATTTATAAACATAATAGGTGTAGTAGCTCATTTCTAATAACTGATTTCTTTTATCTTTGCCATGATGGCAGTAACTAGTATATAATCTAGTATTTTTTACTAGATATTTTTCAAGATACTAGTATTCAGCGTAAAGTGACATTTAAAGGCTTAACTAGGTTAGTTAGGCAAGTCACTGTATAACAATGGTTTGTTCTGTAGAAAGTCTAAAAAATATATTGCTTAAGGGGGCTAATAATATTGGCCTTAAGTGCTTTTCAAAAAATAAAATCTGCTTTTATTCTAGCCGGAATAAAACAAATAAGACTTTTACCAGAAGAAAAAATATTATCGTAAACACTGCGAAAAAATTCCTGAATCTCTTAAACATCATTTGGGAAATATATATATATTATATATAGGGTTAATAATTTTAACTTCAACTGTACATCAATAAACTGAACTAAGCGTAACTTAAAAAATGAGTCATTTTTATAAGTAAATATTAAGATAATATTTCACAATATAACTGTTGGACTAGGAAATCCAGCTTTAATGAGTATAACAGACTCTTGAACTTTTTTTGAAGAAATATTTAAACAGTTCACATTGTGTTGTTTTGTTTTGTTTTGTTTTGTTTTGTTTAGGGTCACCGGCTGAAAAACTCAGACAATCAGACATACCTGGCTCTGAACTCCATGAATGCCCAGAGGAGAGTGCTGATATCTGGGACTCCCATTCAGAACGACCTGCTGGAGTATTTCAGCTTGGTGCACTTTGTAAACTCTGGCATCCTCGGTAAGAGACATGCATGATCCTGCGAAGAACTACTGAATCTGTCACAGTAAACGCTGTGGTTTGGGTAATAGAAACTATTCTGATTCCATGTTTAAGCTCTGCCACATACTCGGGGTTAACATTACTGCACTTTAAAATATATATATATATATATATATATATATATATATATATATATATATATATATATATATATATATATATGTGTATGTGTATGTGTATGTATGTATGTATGTATGTATGTATGTGCGTGCAGATTTTTTTTTTATCTATGCACACACTGCATTATTTATGTTTACATCCTTTTGTGGGTAATTCATCTTTACATTTCACTGCACTTCATATTATATTATTCATTTATTCATTTTCCTTCATTTTAGTCCCTTGTTTATCAAGGGTCGCCGCAGCGTAATGAACCACCAACTATTCCAGCATATGTTTTATGCAGTAGATGTCCTTCCACCTGCAACCCAGTACTGGAAAACACTCATACACGCACACACACTTATACACTACATCCAATTTAGTTTATTCAATTCCCCTATAGCGCATGTGTTTGGACTGTGGGGGAAACTAGAGCACCCAGAGGAAACCCACTCCAACACGGGAGGAACATGCAAACTCCACACAGAAATGCAAAAAAAGTCTTTGTTTTCATTCCCTCAGGCACAGCTCAGGAGTTTAAGAAACGCTTCGAGATTCCTATCCTGAAGGGTCGTGATGCAGACGCCAGTGATAAAGACAGAGCTGCTGGAGAGCAGAAACTCCAGGAGCTCATCAGCATTGTCAACAGGTGAACACGGGAGGGGGGAAACACTCTATACAGCATTTAGATCTGTTATTGATATATTTGTTTTTGTTTTGTTCAGGTGTTTGATTCGAAGGACTTCAGATATTCTTTCCAAGTATCTGCCAGTGAAGATTGAACAAGTAGTCTGCTGCAAGTAAGAAAACTACACATATTCTGTTTTATAATGATGTGACTCAGTACATAAAAAATTACAATTACGAGTGATTAACAACAGTGCCTCGGTAAATAAATAATGTCACACAAAATGTAAAATAAAAACCTGAAAGTATCATATTTAAAATTTGTAACTTTCAGTGACTTAGCTTAGTATCAGTTCTGTTTTGAAAACTACCTAAAATTTCTTTATTGGTAGAGAGTTTGATCCAAACTTTTATAGAATTTTATACACTAAAGAGAGTTTTGTTTAAGTCAATCATCAGAAACAATGACCATTTTAAAACGTAATTATTTTTGTGCAATATCACATAAAGAAAAGAAGCTATTCGGCTGCGATAGCCTTGTTAGCATATAGCATTGATGCACTTCGGGAGTCCTGAGTTCAAGTCCCGGCTTGTGAACCTTTCTTGATTAAAAGGCATCGTTTCCCATTTATAATTAATCTTTATAAAGAGAAAAGAAGCTACCACTCACAAACATACACATTTCTACACATTATTCTCATTCAAACTAATATACTAACGCTAATCTAATATTAGCAACACACCCACAGGATTATAACTACATCAATTTAATTGCTTTAAAACCAGAAAACAGAAAAAAGCCATTATTTCTCCACAGGTTAAACTTGGAAAAACTGCCAACATATTACAGATTTTACATGCATTTTTTAAGCATTGCTAACGAAATTAAAACCTGATTAACATAAAACGCATGACTTTTTGCTCTTTTTTTTTCCCTCCTATTTTTGTACCTAGCGCAAAATAGATATGGATGGTAATAAGGTTAAACCTTCAAAAATTTGACTGAAAACACACATTTCTGTCACAATGTATTCTGTTTGGACTGAAAAACTAAAATGACAAAGACAAACAATAACATTACATTGATATACATTTGGCTAAAAATGTAAATTGTTTTATCATTCTAGTATTGGTATGGTCATTTTGTCATTAGAGGAGACATAAATTAATAATATGTGTCATGGCTGAACAATATTTTGAGCATCGATATTGCAATGTGTGTACCTGCAATAGTCACATCACAGGATTAGAATTTTTATTAAACATAAAAAATAAAGATATTGTTTTTATTATTTATACAATGATGACCATGTTATTTTACATTTGATGGTTCAATTCCAGTACTTAAATACTGTTAGACTCCCCAGAAAGCCATTAAGCACTGTTTAATGATTTATTTTTGCTTGTAATCTATTATATTTTAGATTATTTATATCTCGCAGCAAAAGAAAATATTGCAGTGTCAGATTTTTTCAGTATTGTGCAGCCCTAATATGTGTGTGTGTGTGTGTGTGTGTGTGTGTGTGTGTGTGTGTGTGTGTGTGTGTGTGTGTGTTAGTCTGACTCCTCTGCAGAAAGAGCTGTACAAGTTATTCCTGAAGCAGGCCAAACCTGTGGAGAGTCTGCAGACGGGGAAGATCTCCGTGTCTTCTCTGTCCTCCATCACCTCGCTAAAGAAGCTCTGCAACCGTGAGTCTCCATCTACATAATACATAAACACACATTTCAACACTGACCAGGGGGCTGATTGAAAACATTTGCATAGAAACCTTCCTTAAAGTGAACTTGAACCAGAATAAATGTATTTATTTATTTATTTATTACTTAAATATATATAATATTTACTTAAAAATTTATTTATTATTTTGGCTTACATGATGGATTAAAGTGGTGTATTAAGTCAACATTTAAGTTAAATAGGTTAACTCAGAGTTTACTTGCAGCCGAGCGCATATTTGAAGTCTATATGTAATCAGATTTCCGCCCTGTTTCATATGGATGCCACAATCGTAAATGAGACCCCTGAACTTTCTTATATGTAAAGTGTGCTTATAATAAAACAATTAAACTGTGTGTGTTGCCTCTGTTAGATCCTGCCCTGATCTACGAGAAGTGTCTGACAGGAGAAGAGGGTTTTGACGGAGCACTGGATCTCTTCCCACAGAATTATTCAACCAAAGCAGTCGAACCACAGCTCTCAGGTCAGCTCAAAGAAACCAATGCTTCTATGATGCGTTACGCTGGACAGATTTGACAGTAAATATATTTAGAGTGTTATGAAAATGTCATGTAAACACTGCTCTTTTTGAGCAAAGAAATCCTCAAAGTTTTCAGAACTGATAATATTAGAAATATTGCTTGATCCTCAGATCAGCGTATTAGAATGTTTTTAATAATTTTGCGAGATATTGTGCTACTCTAATCGTACATCCCTGATCCTACTGATTACCTAAACCCAACCTCTACCTTATTATCTAGTAATAAGAAGCAAATTTTGAGTCGATTAAAGCAAAATACATAGGTAATTGTTTTATTAAAAGCTTTAATTGTACCTTGAAATAAAGTGTGATGTTTTATTATTTATTAGTATGAATAAGCAGCATATTAGGAGTTTATTAGTCATATTTAGTGGTTTATTAATTTCCTGAGATGTAACTTGAAATAAAGAGTGACATTTATGTAACCCTAATGTTTTTAATATCGGAAACTGGTGGAATTTTGGCCTCAGAGTCACCGAAGTTATACTAGATGTATTGATTTCTTCATATCAGACTGTAAACTCTGTGACTTGTGTTATTTGCAGGGAAGATGCTGGTGTTGGATTATATCTTGGCGATGACCAGAACAACGACCAGTGATAAAGTGGTTCTGGTCTCCAACTACACACAGACTTTGGATCTGTTTGAAAAACTGTGTCGAAACAGAAGGTACTGACTTTCAGAGCAATCCAACATCCGTGTAAATACAACAGTGATTTACCTTTCATGATCTGACTGTTTTCATCATCAGTTCTGCTCACACACTGAAAAAATGATTTTCTTGCATTTGTTTTTTTGTCTTGTTTCTAATCCAAATATCTAAAAATTCTTAAATCAAGAAGCCTTTTCATAACACACAGTCTTGTTTTAAGAAATAATATGAGTGAGTGAGTTTTTCCTTGAAGCAAGCTAAATATTCTGCCAATGGGGTGAGCAAAATAATCTTGTTTTTCTTTTTGACATTATTTTTGCTTACCCCACTTGTAGATTTAACTTGTTTTAGGTAAAAATATACACTTAATTTAAAAATTTTATTTATTAAAACATGTTTTTACTAGAAAATGCTTCTTGATTTAAAAATTTTCAGATGTTTGGACTAAAAACAAGGCAAAAAAAATCAAAGTAAGAAAAGCATTTTTTGCAGCATAGAGGTTTAGAAATATATTTAAAGTTCAGACTTATGATATGTTATACTAACTGTAATAATCTCGTTTATTCTATGTGAACAGATACCTTTATGTTAGGCTGGATGGGACGATGTCCATCAAGAAGAGAGCCAAGATTGTGGAGAGATTCAACAACCCCTCTGTGAGTGCTTTTATTGATCTATTTTCAGTTTTCATTTTTTGCTTTTATTTGTATTTCATTTATTTGTTGACAAAATATTATTTGTATTGTATTATCATGCATTTACACTTTATATGTAGTATAATCATATTTCAATATCATTTTATTAATAAACATTTAAATTAAATTATGTAGGCTTCATTGAGATATCAGTCATTTTTGTTATTTTATTAAGTTGTGCTTTCATCGTTTATATATATATATTTTTTTTATGTGTAATTTAATTATATTTAAGTATTATTTGCATTATTAAACATTTAATTGTGTAGGTTTCAAATTTTTTGCATTTGTCATTTTCATTGTTTTATTTGTTTGTTCGTTCATCATTTTTTACTTTAATTTTTGTTTATTACAGTTGAATGATTAACCCCCCTTTGATTTATTCCCCCCCTATAACAGATTCAGGAAATGTTCACAGTATGTCTGATAATATTTTGTCTCCTGGAGAAAGTCTTAATTGTTTTATTTCGGCTAGAATAAAAGCAGTTTTTTATTTTTTTAAAAGCCATTTTAAGGACAAAATTATTAGCCCCTTTAAGCTGTATATTAATTGATTGTCTACAAAACAAACCATAGTTATACAATATAACTTGCCCACAATAAATTACCCTAACCTGCCTAGTTAACCTAATTACCCTAGTTAAGCCTTTAAATGTCACTTTAACTTTACTGTCATCATGGCAAAGATAAAACAAATCGGTTATTAGAGATGAGTTATTAAAACTATTGTTTAGAAATGTGATGAAAAAATCTGTTAAACAGAAATTGGGGAAAAAGATAAACAGGGGGGCGAATAATTCTGACTTCAACTTTATATAGAACTATTATATGTTTAATTATATGTATTATTATATGTGATTTTATTTTTTCCATTTTCTTATTAGTGCATTGATCATTTATTTACTTTAATTTTTGTTTATTATATTTAAATATGATTTATTATTTTAAATATTGATAAATCCTTACACTTTAGTTATTTAGGTTGTTTTATACATCCTTAGGTTTTGGTTCCATTTAAGTTATTTTAACTTACCTTCACATAGTTTTTATTCTTTTAAATATATTAAGTCCACACTTGTAAGTGAACAAATGATTAAATATAAATTTTGTGGGGATTTTTTTCAGCTAATATTTGTATTTCAATTGTAGGTCCGTTAAAATGAATGAAAATTTTTCTAAATGCTTTTTATTTTGATGATGATGACCTTAATAATAACTATTAATAAGCAGCAAATTAGGCGTTTATTGAGGTCATAACTTACATTTTATTAAGTTCCTGAATTATACCCTAAAATAATTTGGTAGCACATTAGTTTGTCACAATTCATGCTATTTAATACTGGCTTATTACCTATTGCCTATTATTAAGATTATAACTGTTCATTAGTGGTTGAAGGATGATGCTATTCTGCGTCCCTAATCCTCCCCAAGTCCTGACTACTACCTTAATAACTATTAATAAAGAGCTAATTAAGAGTTTAATCAGCTAATAGTATTAGTTACTGGTTTGTTAATATGTGAATTGTGAATTGTGACCTAAACTAAATTGTTCTCCTCCAGAGCCCAGAGTTCATCTTCATGCTGAGCAGTAAAGCTGGCGGCTGTGGCCTCAATCTGATTGGTGCAAACCGATTGGTGATGTTCGACCCGGACTGGAATCCAGCCAATGACGAGCAGGCGATGGCTAGAGTGTGGAGAGACGGACAGAAGAAGACCTGCTACATCTACAGACTGCTGTCGGTGAGTTCAGCCAATGAAAGTTAGCGGGGGGCTTTCAATGGATTCTGACTGGCTGTCAGCGTTTTATCATTCATCAGCTGAGAAAAAATCTAAATGATTGGAAAAAATCATTCTGAAAGTGATCCCAGCCATATCATTGCTTTCTTTATTGCTGCCGTTTTGGTGTGAACTATGCTATTCTTTAAAACTGTATCTTGATAGTTATCATTTAATAGTTATCACTGCTCATCTCTGAGACGTGGATAATAGTGTCTCATCTCCTGTGTTGTAGACGGGAACCATAGAGGAGAAGATCCTCCAGAGACAGGCTCATAAGAAGGCCTTGAGCAGCTGTGTAGTGGATGAGGAGCAGGACGTGGAGAGACATTTCTCTCTCGGAGAGCTTCGGGAACTCTTCTCGCTCAATGAGAAAACCCTCAGCGACACACATGACAGGTAAAAACACAACCACACCAAAACACTGCCGTGGGGTTCATTAAAACTATGTGCTCTGTGTTATTTAGTGTTCAAAGATAGCAAAATTTCTCCATGTAGAGCTTTATTTTGACAAATAAGAATGAAGTTTGTCAAAGTACAGTCAAATATCATTATGTGTTGGTTTTATTGACGTCTTGGCTTTTATTAAGTTACTATTCAGAGCGTATCTTTGGTTTATATTTAGCTAACACTTTAGTATGGGGAACGATTATGTCTTTTAGCTGCTGCTTAGCTTTCATGCCCTGCAAAAAAAATGCTTTTCTTACTTGGATTCTAGTCAAAATACTGAAAAGTTTTTGAAATATTCAAAAAATGGTCTTGTTTTAGTAAATAATGTCAAAATGAATTGAGTTTTTTTCTTAAAACAAGCTTAATAATCTGCCAATGGGGTAAGCTAAATGATCATTTGTCAAGAGGTAAAACAGTAGCTGCGTCCCAAATGGCACACTATACACTATGCACTCATGCACTTACACACTCTACAGGATAGTATATGTATGTAGTGGCGTCCCAAATGGCACACTTATGTTTTTTTACTAAGCGGAAATTCAAACCGTTTCCCTGATGACGTTTGACGGTCGCCAAATCCGTGAAATAAACGACTGAATTATCAAATAATACCTGCCGTGAGTATATCCACATTCACCATCGGGAGGCGCTATAATCACTCTCATAGGAGAATTTTGCTTTCACCATCCAAAATAAATAAAGTTATCCAACATGTGCGTCCGATAGCTCCGCCCCTTCCGCTACGTAAGCAAACCTGCGGTCGTTGAGTGTGTGAAGTGTCCATCATTACACACTTCATTTTAGCGGCTGAATGAGTGCATCATCCGGGTAATTAAAGTGCACTTATTATTTTTAGAGTTTTCAGTGTGAACACATTAAAAAATGGCGTAGAATAGTGCATAAGTATGCGATTTGGGACGCAGCTAAGATTATTTTGCTTTCCCCATTTGTACATTATTTTGCTTGTTTTAAGGAAAAACTCACTTCATTTTAGCACATTATTTCTGAAAACAAGACAAGTGTTTTTCCTTGTCTAGAAAATGCTTCTTGATTTTAAGAATTTTTAGGACTAGAAACAAGACAAAAAGACTGTTAAAGCTCATAGTAATGCTTTACTCTGAAATTAGTATTTTACTCAGCTTAATTAAATCTTCACCCAAACTTAACCACTTCAACAACTTAAAGGTGCTGTATGCGAGTGCTTGAAAAACAATGCTGAAGTCAGATATTCTGCTTTGAAAATGTGTTTTCCGTGCCGGAACGGCTGTCTTGCCAGTCTTGCCCAATGCCAGTTTAGCCAATTATATTGCAGCAGCCCGGGTTGCCTTGGTGGAAAACAGCGTATTTCATTCATTCAGTCAGGAAGGCTCTCAAAAGTATGCGTCCGTGACTGAAATGCGACCTCTAGTGGACAGTAGCAGACTCAGAAATGAGACACAGACTCAGAGTTCCACTTGAGGTTATTATTTAGCAAATAATATAAATATTACGCATGTAAACATATTAGGTGAGCAGATTTCATTGTAACCGCGTGTCCTAACAACACGCTGCGTGATGAGATACGCAGTGATGAGCAATTTGGCTGTTTGCACCAGACGAAACACGACAGAAATGTAATATAGCCATTGAGAAGCACAGAATATGCACCCACTCACAAAATGGTGAGGTTTATAATCTAATTAATACATATTAAACCTGTTTAACATTATTAAATGTAGATGCTGAATCCCTGATATGTGTTTAGTTCAAGTTAAATTTCAAGCTGTTTCTATTATGTTAATTCCAGGTGTTGGTTAGGACAAAAACTACTTTTAATAAGGAGTGCCGTTGCTTTAATATAGAACACCGTTTAAATCACTCGCTCCTGTCCTCAATCTGGCAACCTGCGCTTGTGTTTGTTTTGATCCATGATTGCAATACCTACTTTAACCACTGGGTGTCAAAACTTACACACTGAGGCCATGTCTGCACTAATCCGGATAAATTTGAAAATGGGAGTTTTCCTCTAAAAACGCTTCACGTGCACACTGTCGTTTCTATTCATTTTCCAAAACTTTGTCATCAACACTGAAACGACTACAAATGCTTTCACCCTGTACTGCGCATGCGTGAAACGTAAGACGCTTCGGTACGCGTCATTTCCGCCTGACGTTTATGTTTATGCACAGTTTTTTTAAATGGACTGACAATGAAGTGGAGTTGCTGCTTCGAGTAACGCATGAATACAAATGTGCAAAAGAGAGTGAAAATGTAGACTGGGAGACGTGCCAAAACAAATACGCCGATATACTGGAGCGCTTTAAAGAACAGTATCCTGCTGATGACGCTGCTTACCCTCACAGTAAGGACATCACTAAACTCATGATCACAATGAAATGAAAGTAAATTTAATTGAATTAGTAACATGACTGTCACATGACAAAAAAACGCGTCATCGTTTTCGAAAGACTCCGTTTTCACAGTCTACACTACGACTCGAAAACGGTGTTTTCAAATGTATCCACTTTGGAGAGCGTTTTCAAAAAGATTCGTTTTTGTTTCCTAAAAACGCGTCTCAGTGTGGACAGAAGGGCAAAACGGAGACAAAAATATGCGTTTTCAAATGAAAACGCATTAGTGTGGACATGGCCTGACTGTACTTTTAACTACTAGTAATATAAGGACTTTTTTTAAGGCAAAAGTCGTTGATTATTATACAATTTAGATTGCTGTAATCCTATTTAATTTATGTTTTGCCTTTGTGTACGTGCAGTTTCATATTTATATACAGATAGCTGAAATTTGATTAGAGTTTAGTTTAACAAATAGATTTTTACAAAGAAGAGAGAACTAACTCGTAGCCTTTATACAAATATTTATTGATTCTTTTTCGATTGGATACAAAATCAATCACCATTCTCCAATGACTTGCCTAGTTAACATAATTGAGCCTTTAAATGTCACTTTATTAGTTTCTTGTACAATATGTACTGCCATCATGGCAAGGATAATAGTAATTGGTTATTAGAACTATTTGAAAAATAATTTCCATTTCAGGAGGGATAATTTTGCATGTATATATTTAGCTTACTCTTATAACACATGCAGTGAAATCACTCATCTGATTTTTCTGGTTCAGGTTTCGCTGCAGGCGGTGTGTGAATGGCCGACAGGTTCGTCCTCCTCCTGATGATTCGGACTGTACCTGTGATCTCTCCAACTGGCATCACTGCGCTGATAAGCGAGGCCTGAGAGACCCGGTGCTGCAGGCTTCATGGGATGCAGCAGTCTCTTTCGTCTTCCACCAGCGCTCACACGAGGACCAGAGAGGAGTTGTCTGAACTGCTCAGAAAAGCCTAAGTTCATATGCTAGCACTCATTCATTTCTTTATTCATGTATTTATTTTGCACAAACAAATTGATTATTCTTTTCTGGGTTATTAAAAGGAACTAAAACCCAAGTTTTTTTTTTTTATTTGTCGTTGGTTTAAAGGGAAAGTTCACACAAAAATTTAAATTGTGTTCAACAGGAAAAGAAATGTAAATAATGACAGATATTATTTTTCATTGATGTCCATAGCAAAAAACACAACTCAATTTTTAATACTTTTTTCATACTGTGAATATCAGTGTTTACCAGTTTCCAACATTGTTTTTATTTTTGATGCTGGTCATTTAAATGGATACGACACCCAAATATTTTCATTGTCATTTACTTTTTTTCTGTTGAACAGATATTTCTTCCATTGAAGTCCATAGTAGGAAAAAATAATCCTATTGAAAGTCAACATGCTTCAAAATATCTTCTAACAAAAGACATAGGGTCTAACAAAAAGAAAACTGGTTTAAAGGGATATTCACCCCCCCAAAAAATAGAAATGTACTCTTTTCAACAAAACTAGATATGTTGGAAACCTGTAACCATTGACATCCATAGTATTTGTTTTTCCTACTTTGAATGTCAAAGGTTACAGGTTTTCAGAGTTAAAAAATAAATAAAAAATTGTCTAACAGGAGAAACTCAAAGGTTTGAAAGAAGGATGAATAAACAATGACAAGCTAATGAATTTTTTGGGGGGGAACTGTCACTTTAAATACTATAGAAGTTTTTTTTCAACATTCTTCAAAATATCTTCTTTTGTGTTTAACAAAAATAACAGGTTTGAAACAAGTGAGGGGTTAAAGGGAAATTCACCCCAAAAATTACAATTTACTCCTCCTCCAGTGGTTATAACTGGAGTTTTTCTGTTAAACAAAAAATCTATTTTAAAGAATCTTGAAAATCTGTAACCATTGACATCTATAGTAGGTAAAAAATTAATTGTTACAATAATGGTTACAGGTTTTCAACATATCTAATTTTGTGTTAAGGCTTGAAAGAACGATGAATAAACGATGACGAACTAATGAATTATTTTAGGGTGAACTGTACCTTTAAATACAATGTTTTTACAACATTCTTCAAAATATCTAAGAAACAACTGAGGGATAGTTCACTCAAAAAAAAATATTTACTCATCTTCAAGTGGTTATAAAATTTAGTTTCTTCTGTTAAAAAAAAATATTTTAAAGAATCCCGAAAATCTGTAACCATTAACATCCATAGTAGGAAAAACAATCTAGACTTCAATGGTTACAGGTTACCAACATATTTAGTTTTGTGTTAAGGTTTGAAAGAATGATGAATAGACGATGATGAACTAATGATTTATTTTAGGATGAACTGTACCTTTAAATACTGTGGAAGACAATGTTTTTACAACATTCTTCAAAATATCTTCTTTTGAGAGAAAAAAAAAAAAAAAAAAGGTTTGAAACAAGTGAGGGTTAAAGAGATATTCATCACAAAAATTAAAACTTACCCGCAAGTCGTTGTAAATGTTTCTACTGGTAAACAAAGAAAAACACCTTAAAGAACCTGAAAACCTGTAACATCCATTGACATTGGACAGTAGGAAAAACAAACACTAAGGAAGTCAATGGTTACAGGTTTCCAACATATCTAGTTTTGTGTTAAGATTTGAAGGAAGGATATATGATGGTGTGAATGATGACAAACAATGAATTTTTATTTTAGGGTGAACTGTCCCTTCAAATATGATGAAGATATTCATTTTTAGGTGAACTGTCCCTTTAATGCTACATATTACCTGTGGGTTCATAAGTGTTTTGCCAGCTAAAGAGTTCTTCACATCACACTGACATGATCCACCATGGTGTCTCGTGTGTTCCAGTCATACATTAATAGATTACAGTATGGCTTCAGTTTCTGGAGAGCTTGACCCTTGACCTCCAGGTCTCGGTTGAGTGGATTAAAGCACAGGTCCAGTGTGATTCGTTGAGCAGGTCTGTATGTTTCCAGCAGCTCCGCAAACCCTAGCAGCTCCGCCGGAAGAATGAAGTTTGAGCTGTGAGAAAGGACAGATTTCATTAATGGAGCTTGAGTTAGAAGGTGAAACAGACGCTGATCTGGGATCAGTTTATTGTACGGAGCGCGTCTGTCAGTCAGCGCTTATACATGCATTCACTGTTTCAGAGGTAGCATATGAAAGGCGACGATCAAAGCACAGTATTAATGTAAAGAAAGTGGGATAGAATGGTAAAATATAGGAAAATTTCGGCAAAAGCGGGAGGGTTTACGTGAGTGAAGTGAACAGGAAGTGTTTGTGGAGAAACATTTTCAAGAGTTCACACTTAGCTGATGATTGATTATAAGCAAGTTTGGCATGCTGTCCCGGGAGAGAGCCCTGAGCTCGAAGGTTCTTGAGCCCTGGGCTCCCTCCCGTTTGGAGGAAGAGAGGGGAGCCTCGAGCTCAGGTAGATCTCGACAACTCCCCTTTTTATAATAGCTAAAGATTAAGATTGAAGGCTATTAAAAGATATGCTGCATTATTAGATTACCTGTATTGAAATTTAGATTTAACGATTAACTTGATGTACATGTTTTTGGAATGTGGGAGGAAACCGGAGAACCCGGGGAAAACCCACGCAAGCACAGGAAGAACATGCAAACTACACACAGAAACGACCACCGGCCTGTTAAGGAACTAGAACCGGTGACGTTCTTGCTGTGAGGCGACAGTGCTAGTCACTGAGCCACCGTGCCGCCCTATGGAGGGAAAGGTGAAAAGGTAGGGGTGGAAGGGGGGATTCTTCAAATCGAAGATGACTGTAGTGAAAAAACCCTGGCTCTTTATAGTGGTTAGGAATGGCCGTGGTGGATCAAGCATGCTAATGCAGAACCAGCCGTGTTCAATCATAATCACGTGCTCCTCTCGAAATTAGTTTATGAATAAACTTCACTTTGCGAGAGAACACAAAAACTTAGAAATATATATTTTCCTCCCACCCTTTTTTTTCTTTCACCCATTTTTTTTTCACCCAGCCAAAATTTTTTCTCCTCCACTACATCCCTTCCGGGGTTCCGTAATTTTTCCTTGTGTTGTGTAAAAGTATACAAATTAAGATATTTTGAAGAACAGTAGAAAACAGTAACCGTTCTTCCTTACTTACAATCCTTTATGAGTTTTTTTCTTCAGTTGAACACAAAAGAAGATATTTAGAAAAATGATGAAAACGTGTAACCATAGACTTCCATTGTTTTTTTCCGCTTATTATGAAAGGCAATGGTTACAGGTTTTCAGCTTTCTTCAAAATATCTTTTTTTTTGTTCACCAGTCAAATAAGTTCAAATAGGTTCTGAAGGATGAGTAAATGATGACAAAAGTTTTATTTTTGTGTAAACTACTCCTTTTAAGGCTTAATAAAGGGATAGTTCACCCAAAACTCAACATTCATTTACTCATCCTTGTTACAAACCTTTATGAGTTTCTTTTTTTGGTTAAACAACAGAAGATATTTCAAAAAATGCTGAAAACCTGTAACCATTGACTTCCATAGCATTTGTTTTTCTTACTATGCAAGTTACAGGTTTTCAGCATTTTGCGAAACATCTTCTTTTGTGTTCAACCAAAGAAATAAACTCACAAAGGTTTGGAAACCACTGGTGGAAGAGTAAATACTGGGTAAAGTTTTCATTCTTTGGGGAACTATCCCTTTAAATCCCTTTCATTTTCTCAAAATTGTTAGATATTTGATATTTTTAAGACCTCTTGAACACCTGGTTTTACCTGAGGTCTAATGTGGTGATTTCGCTGGGTCGGCATCCTGAGAATAATCTGGAGATTTCGATGGCAGTCGTTGCTGGGGGAAGAAACACACAAACACCAATCACTGAGACATGAGGCATCTTTAAGAAGAGTTTTCAGATCATGCATGTCAATGACATTAACATTTATAGTGCACTCTTTAAAATACTCATTGAAAAAAACAGTAGTGTTACTGGGGATTATTACAAGATCATCTTTTATGATCTACAGTAATGCATTATAATTATAAATTAAATATTAAATGCAACAAAATATAATGGGTACATTCTCTGAGAAATTGATAACTTGTGTATGCTGAGCACTATATAGGGTTCAACAATAAGGACTGCCCGATGGCCCTGGGCCAGCGTGAGAGATGTTCGGGACAGTAGAGAGAATCGTTACTGACTCGATCGGACCATTGCTGCCTTGTCACCAAATTTTAATTCGCCTGCGACTATTTGTCAATTGCGTGCAAATACAGTCTTAGAATCGAGAAACAGTTTGTGCTTTTAAGTCTTTGAATGCTACCTTTTCTGTGAGGTCGTAAACACTATACTGCTTTTTGGTTCCTTTTAACATATTGGATGTTGTGAGCACGTTATTTGTTTTTTCGGTAACCTGGTAAAAACCAGTACAGCGAAGAGACGGCAAAATCAAATCATGAGGTGATGTTTTGCATAGTCAGCCACCTTTTGTTTTGCACATTTTCCATACTGCTGTATTTTACTGCTAAATATTTTAGATTTTAGATATATATTAAATTCTAGATTTACAGACATCATTTTTGACACATTATTTAAAATATGTGGCTAAGAAATAGCTATAATTTATTAATTTATTTCAGTGGGGCCAGTAAAAAATTTGGGAGGGCAAGTAAAAATCTGAACCGCTGGTCCAGTCGGGCCAGTATACAATGAACCCTGCTATATATATATATATATATATATATATATATATATATATATATATATATATATATATATATATACACACCAGTTCTGTCTGGTTCTCGAATCTGATTGGCTGATAGCTGTGATATGTTTACGTAATATAGGCACCCGTACAGCCTCTTTACCCTTTGTGTATTACTCCGCCCACATACAGCCAGTAAAAAGCAGACACTACAGATCTACAGTTTAAAAGATGCCTTGCTCAGCTGTTTAACTGTCAGCTTATGATTTAAATCCAACGCTGAAGAAAGTAGTTCCCCATACAAAAGCGTTTTTGAGACTCTCCATGTTTGATTTTGTATTTATATACACAATTATGGCGTCGAACTGTTGTATAAACGCAATATCACACTCGTTGCAGTGTAATATGGCTGTATATCGGCACTGGTGGGGGCACTAAGGCACTCAGCTGCGGCTTCGTGCCATCGCACACCTCCCACCAGTGCCGATATACAGCCATATCGCACTGCTACTTGTGTGATATTGCTCATATATATATATATATATATATATATATATATATATATATATATATATATATATATATATATATATATATATATATATAATTTTTTTTTTTTTTATATATCTACACTCATACTGACCCTAAAATTGTGAGCATTAGTGTTTATATTCACTCTTACCCAGTCGATTCTTGGCCAGCACCAGGGTTTTGAGAGATGAAATAGCTTTAACTGCTTCTACAAAGGCCACCATGAAGTCCGTCTTTAATGAGCATTTATCCAGCAGTCTACAGTCTTTAAAGGACAGCTCTGAGATTCAGAAAACAACAGTGCTAAACATCAGTCACTCATTTAGTCTCGCTCTTGATTGATCTGTGATTCACGCTTCACCTTCCAACACAGAGGATTGCAGAAAATGAAGAATCTCCTGGTGATAGTCGGATAAGTTTATATCCTCCAACTTTAATATCTTGAGGGACGCTTTACAGCCTATGAGGACAAAAACAAGCATGTATAATAGTATATCCTATAATATGTCAAATAAAACACCTTTTGTTTTGAGCAGCATACAAGCATGAGTAATGTTATTGTGCTTTTTTCCCTGTACATTATAATATATCCTATTAATTTTACTCATTAGAAATTTAATTTACAAAATAATAAGTAAAAACTACTTTAATTAAATATTCTTTCAAACCACTAGTGTTAAACACATTTGTCAGCAGTAATTTTAAATATAATACAATCTAATATGATCAGATATTCTTTCATAATTTAATTTAATATTTAATCATTTTAAATAAACAATCTAGTACAGTAGTTCTCAAAGTTTTTTCACCAAGTACCACCTCAGAAAAGAATTGTCTCTCCAAGTACCACCACAATGAGCAGTACTGAAATACAGCAGCATAGTAGGACCGAAGAAGCAGCTACAGCACTGCACAGATCAAAAACGAGGCAGATTAAATCCTACTATTAAGAATATTTATTATTGTCCGCCACTTTAAACATTATAAATAGTTGAAACATTAACACTGTACTGTGCTTATATGTAAAAAAAAAACAAGCAAACAAATAAAAATAAGACATCATCATTTAAATATTTAAATATTATTTTAAAAGTTAAAAATGAAAGGTTACTGTTCTTAAAAAGAAAAAAAAACTCCTGTACTTTAATGTAAAGCATTAACATAAAGAAGCCAATTAATCAACACCTGGAAATTTTGCCTAGATCTCAGAAATATAGGCTATATGTCATTATATTCATATATAAATAATTTAAGATCATTTTTTAAATATATGTTGCATACATATAACATATTTAATCCCTTCACAGACCACTAGAAGTAAGCCCGCGTACCGCTAGTGCTACATGTACCACAGTTTGAGAACCACTGATCTAGTATGATCAGATATTCTTTCATATTTTAATTTAATATTTAATCATTTTAAATATAATTCAATCTAATATGCTCACATATTCTTTCATATTTTAATTTCATATTTAATAATTTTAAATAAACAATATAGTATGATCACATATTCTTTCATATTTTAATTTAATTTAAGTAAGATCAAAAAAGGCGTGTTGTTTCATTTTTATATTTCAGTTACTTTAATATGTTCATACAACCTTAATTCATCAATATTTGGACATTTTATTTGCACAAAATGTACTTGCAATATTAAAGTGAACATTTTACTTGCATTTAATAAGCTTCTTATTAGGGATGCTCCGATCAGGAATTTTTGAGTACTGATTCTGAAGCTTCAAAGTTTATAAAACTTTAACACTGCATAAAGCACGTTTTCCTTCTTAGTATGATACTTAAGTAGAGATCTCTCCTTTCCTTAAGGAATAAATGGAGGATGTTGCATATAATCCCTTAAACACAACTCTTAAAACCATTTAGTGAGGACACATCAAACTCAGAATCAGATCAAATAATATATAAAACAGATAAAAATATGGATCAGAAAAATGACAAACAATGCAATTTGGAAGAATAATTCAACGTGTCTCAATGAAGATAAAGTTTGGAGTGCATATATGATGCATAAGAAGTTAAAACATCTTCCCCTGCTTGTAAACCCGTAAACGAACACTCGCAATAGGTACATGTGATCAGCCAGATTAGGGTGTACCCATCGAGTCATAAAATGTGATTATCGGCCGATACTGATCTCCAGCTCATCGATCGGAGCATCCCTACTTCTTATGCATATAACTAAACCTTTATATACTTTATTTGATGCTTACTCTAAATATGCGACAAAGAAGAGCTGTTCCATTTTTAATTTAACAAATAATATTAAAAACAAATCAATAAAATGAACAGAATTTTTTTTTTTTTTTTTAAGTAAGTTCAGACATTTTGGAGTGCAACTACATTTTTATTATTTATTATTGCATATGAAGATTTAACTCCTTAAATAGCTAAAAAAAACACTTTTAGGTTCAACAAATCATAACTACAATGCATTCGTTTGTGCATAAAAGTATAATATTAATGCATATTATTTACGTACTAAGTGTGTTTTTTTAAGTAAACAATAAGTACGGTGATAAAAGTAGGATAAGGTCTTGAGTAAAGAGGCATCTGGGAGTTTGTCAGTACCTGCTAAAGTGTGGAAGAAGTGTCTTGTCAGAGTGATTCCTGTCATATGAAGACTGCTGAGTTCTGGAGCCAAAGCCAGTGCCGGCAGGACGCACTGGACACTCATTGGATCAGTGGAATTAACCGTCAGCTTTTCCAGACTGAGCACTGCAAACAAAGACATCATCAATCCAGCATTCGCTTCATTACACTGATGAAATAATTACAAGCCAAATAAATCTGCTATCATGATATCTTTCTGTCTGACAAAGCAAAAGTTTGATCATTTATTCTGTAGGACATTCGGAGCAAAGGTGAAACTGAGAATTGAATGAATTTTGCAAAAATAAATAAATGAATGAATAAACACAATAGAAAATTAATAACTGGAATAAAAATAATATAATATACGTACAGTCACTGTGAACATGACAGAATTTTTGGGTAGTTTTTAGAATAAAACAAATACTAAATTTCACTCAAATGCATAACAATAAGCTGTAAACTCACTGAAACTGAAAATTAAATGATCGTTTAAATAACTGACTGAAAACGGTAACACTTTACAATAAGGGTAATGCATTTACTAACATGAACTAATCATGAACAACACATGTACAGCATTTAATAATCATAATTGAACATTTACTAATGCATTATTAACATCCAAGTCCATGCTTGTTAATATTAGTTAATGCACCATGAGTTAACATGAACTAACAATGAACAACTGAATTTTCATTAACTAACATGAATAAATACTGTAGTAAATGTGTTGTTCATTGTTTGTTTATGTTAACTAATGAACCTTATTGTAAAGTGTGACCATGAAAACTATCGCTTTGCAAAAGTGCAAACTCGACTGCTGAATTTCAGTTGGTTTACAAAAAAAAAGTCTTTCTTCTGCTACTGAATAAATGCCACTGATCTACTCCAGGTTCTTGCAGGAAAGAAGATGGTCAATAATATTCACTTTTGTCTCGAGGTAACTGTGGAAGTGGTCTCCATTTGTTCCTTTCAGCGGGCAGACAGACGTCCACAGAAAGGCTCTGTAGGGTCGGACAGGCTTTCAGTATGTTGATCAAGTGTGTGAGACCACAAAGGTGACTTAAACTGAGCTCTGAGAGAGAGCCGGCGGGGTTCAGAAACAGCCGTCTGAGAGAGTCCACAAACACACACATCTCGTCCTCACTGATGAGCCCTGCACAAAACACACAGAAATGCACCATCCTGCAGTCACAGACGCCTTGTTTGAGGAAACACTTAAGCTTGGTGCGATACAGAAAAAATGCTTCGTAATTTTGTGCTTGATAATCGATTAAAATAATAGTCTTTGTCACTGTGGAAGAAATGTTTTAGCAGTTTGCTGGATAAAACAAATACTACACACTTTACATTTTACAAATACATAAAAAATCTGTTGAATAATCCGGGGAACGTGAAAATTGTTTTTTAATCAATAATTTAATTAATTAAATTATTAAATAAATAAATAATAAAATTCATTATTATTAATGAATAATTAAATTCATTACTAAATAATACACTTAAGGTCACTATGAACAAGACCAATAAATATTTTAGTAGTTTTCATGATCAAACAAATATTACAATTTAATTAAACACATAAAAAAATGACTTGTAAATTCAGTAAAGCAGAATTAAATAACTTTATTTAAATAAATAAATTAAATTAATAATTTAATTCATTAATTATCATCACTGTGAACATGACCAACGAACTAAATAAAACTAAACAAAGTTTGACTGAAACACCTAACATTTAAAAACAATTTTAATTCAGTGAAACTGAGAAGCAAATAGGTTTTTTCAAATAAATAAAACAAAACAAAACAAAATGAAACAAAGCTAAATGCAAAATTAAAAGCGAAAAAACAAAACAAGAAACTAAAAAAACAAAACAAAACATGAAAAAAGTGAAACAAACAAAACAGCGCAAAAACAAAACACAAAACAAAAATCAACGAAACAAAACATGAAACAAAAACACAGAGAAACAAAGCAAACAGTGAAAAAAATTAAGCAAAACAAAACAAGAAACAAAACAAACAGTGAAACAAAATGAAACATGGAAACAAAACGAAACACAGAGAAACAAAACAAAGAGAGAAACTAAACAAAAAGCAAAACAATAAACAAAACAAAAAGTGAAAACAAAACATGAAACAAAATGAAACAAAGAAACAAAACAAAGCAAAACACAGAGAAACAAAACAAAGAGTGAAATAAAACATGAAACAAAATGAAACCCGGAAACAAAAAGCAAAACACAGAGAAACAAAACAAAGAGTGAAACAAAACATGAAACAAAATGAAACACATAAGCAAAACAAAGCGAAACACAGAACAACAAAACAAAGAGTGAAACAAAACATGAAACAAAATGAAACACATAAGCAAAACAAAGCGAAACACAGAACAACAAAACAAAGTGAAACAAAACATGAAACAAAATGAAACACAAAACAAAACAAAATGAAGCAAAACAAAAAGCGAAACAAATCATGAAACAAAATGAAACACAGAAACAAAACAAAGCGAAACAGAGAAACAAAACAAAGAGTGAAACAAAACATGAAACAAAATTAAACATAAAACAAAATGAAGCAAAACAAAACAAGAAACAAAACAAAATAAAAGAAAACAAAAAATGAAACAAAATGAAACATGGAAACAAAACAAAGTGAAACAAAAAGCGAAATGAAGCATAGCGAAGCAAAACAAAATTAAACTAAACAAAATGAAACAAAAAGCTAAAAAAATAAATAAATAAAGCAAAACCAAACAAGAAACCAAACAAAATAAAGGAAAGCAAAAAATTAAACAAAACAAAACACGAAACAAATTTAACAAAATACAAAACAAAGCTACTTACAGTCACTGTGGACATGAAGTGTGTGAAGACAGGTCCACGTGGGCAGGGCGTGTGACACCATGTTCAGGATTTCACAATTAGGCACCTCAAAATCCAGCGAGTGGATCTGACCTTCAGGACAGCGTTCAGAGGAGCTGCTGGAGGATGAAAACTCACCGCACAAATCCTCTGGCTTTTCCTCATCTAAAGCCAAACGTTTAGCAGCAGGTTCCTCCAGGTCTGCACCACTTCTAAACACATCAACAGCTGAACCACATCCCTCAGTAGACACCGATATCTGCGGCCCTCTGCGTCTGGAAATGAGCCACCTCAAAAAACACGAATCTTCAGGATTTCTCATCAGAACCACTTTTCTGACGGAGCCGTGATCCAGCAGCCGGTGGAGAATGAACAAGTATTTGCGTCCGTGTTTAAATGGAGAATTGGATTCCAGTAATTTGAGAGTCGTCACTCCTTTCTCTAATGCGCTTAAAAAGGGCTGCATGTCTCCGGATGCGAGTCTGCAGATGTTTTTGGTGGACGTGTGGAGAGACAGAACTTTGACGTGCTTTACTGTGATGGAGAGAACGGAGGAATCGCTGAGGTTGGAAAGATACGATGCTTCCCGTTTGAGCTGAGTGAACATCAGCATGTGAAAGAGCCTTTCTAAACAGCGCTGCTTCCAGGACTGATCAGACTGTGATGACTGGGAGAAAAATAAAAACATTAGAATTGAACATCTGTAATATTAAGCAAAATGTAATAGAAGAATGATGTAAAGAATAAGTAAAAAAAAAAAATGTTTATCTACAAGCTTTATATAAACTAAATATATATTATATAAACACTTTATAACCTCTTGAAATAATAATAATAAAATTACCTACATTTACTTTTATTATGATTATTATTATTCAAATAAATGTAAGGTATTTTACTTGGTAGTTGGCTCTAATGTGTAAATTGTAGTGTTAATAACACAAAAAAATAAGAATAAAACAACAACAATAATAATAATACTAATAATAATAATGTAGAAAAGTTTAAATAATCTCTTGAAACGCTTTACAACCTCTTTAAATAATATTAATAATAATAATAATAATAATGTAGAAAAGTTTAAATAATCTCTTGAAACACTTTACAACTTCTTTAAATAATAATAATAATAATAATAATAATAATAATGTAGAAAAGTTTAAATAATCTCTTGAAACACTTTACAACCTCTTTAAATAATATTAATAATAATAATAATAATAATGTAAAAAAGTTTAAATAATCTCTTGAAACACTTTACAACCTCTTTAAATAATATTAATAATAATAATAATAATAATAATAATAATAATGTAGAAAAGTTTAAATAATCTCTTGAAACACTTTACAACCTCTTTAAATAATAATAATAATAATAATAATAATGTAGAAAAGTTTAAATAATCTCTTGAAACACTTTACAACCTCTTTAAATAATATTAATAATAATAATAATAATATTGTAGAAAAGTTTAAATAATCTCTTGAAACACTTTACAACCTCTTTAAATAATATTAATAATAATAATAATAATAATAATAATGTAGAAAAGTTTAAATAGTCTCTTGAACCACTTTACAACCTCTTTAAATAATATTAATAATAATAATAATAATAATAATAATGGTGACGCGATGGCGCAGTGGGTAGCATGTTTGCCTCACAGCAAAAAGGTCGCTGGTT